CATTGTTCTAAAAAATCCAATGTATTATTACTGCTACTACCACCGTCGGGTTATTATTATTATTATTATTATTATCATTATTATTATTATTATTATTATTATTATCATTATTATTATTATTATTATTATTATTATTATTATTATTATTATTATTATTATTATTATCATTATTATTATTATGTAATACGAGGGGGAGTCAAAAAGTAATGCAAGTTGTTCGTTATTTTGCAAAATGTTGCATCAAATTTAAGGAAATTCAGCAGACAAGTATTGCTGAAAAGACATATACTTTTGAACTCCAATTGTTAAAATTTAAGGGGTTTTTTTTACATTTTGGCCTCAATGACGTCACCTCAAAATGGTTACCCTCGTGGAGGTCCGTCACATGTAAAGAGCAGTGATTGAATTTCATGTTTTAGAAGGAGAATCCACAGATAACAACCAAAAGAGACTTCAAAATGTTTACAAGGACCAAACTCTAGATTTTTGGAACTGTATGTATAGATGGGTCAGACGTTTGAGCAATGAACCGGAAGAAGAGGAAGAGGTGCCCATACGCTTGTCAGACAAGCATCGTCCCGATGAGTCAGCCGGAAAAATCATGGCAATTGAGTTTTTGGATGTTCATAGCGTGCTTCTCACATATTTTTTTCCACCAGGAGTAACGTCAATTCAAAACCCTATATTGAAACATTGAAACGACTTGACGCGATAATTCGACCGGTCACACCAAATTTGAACACAGAAAGAGTGGGTTTTTTGTGTGTTTTTTTTACCATGACAATGCCCGCCGGCATTCGAGTATCGGAAAAAGGGAGACAGTCACCCCGTTTATGTGGAAAACACTGCCCCACCCAACTTATTTTCCTGATTTGGTTGCTTTAGACTTCCACCGTTTCAGTCCTAGAAAAAAACCATTGAGAGGTCAACACTATGGAAATGATGGAGAAATCAAGACGGCTGTACCCTTACGACCAACCTGCTCAGTTTTACGCAGCTGGTATATGTGGACTTATTAAAAGGTGGACAGTGGCTATTAAACGAAATGGAGAATATGTTGAGAAATAAAATATTTAACCTCAGATGCTCCCCTTCAATTTGAGGTATGATAATTGCAAGTGTGTACTTTTTTCTTTCAAGTTATAAATGAACTTGCATTACGTTTTTACTCACCCTGGTAGTAATAACAATATTATCATTATTGTTATCGTCATCATCATCATCGTCATCATCATCATCATCATCATCATCATCATCATCATCATCATCATCATCATCATCATCATCATCATCATACATTGTAACTATTTTTATAGTTTTACTTTTGTAGCAATTAAACAGGCATCATGATACTGTTTCTATCATTATCATCGTTTCTCTTTAATAATCTATAATTATCATTATTATTCTAATTATTATCAACGTTGTTCGTTTTATTAATGCCACCATTGCATTATTATTATTATTATTATTTTTATTATTATTATTATTATTATTATTATTATTATTATTATCATTGATATTGCTATTTTTAGGATAGACCTGTTATTATTATTATTATTAGTAGTAGTAGTAGTAGTAGTAGTAGTAGTAGTAGTAGTAGTAGTAGTAGTAGTAGTAGTAGTAGTAGTAGTAGTAGTAGTATCGTTATTATTGTTATTATTTTCAACATTTTCCTCAAGATCATTGTTATTATTGTTGTTATTATTATTGTGTCATCATTATTGTTACTAGTATCATTATTACATGTATTGAATTGCTTTTTTCAAATTATTATTCTGTTTATAATTACTGTTGCTGCTTTTGTTAAATAATATTGTTGTTATAATGATTATTATTATTATCATTATCAAAATCCTAAAGCTGCTGAATAATTGCATAATTAATCATCAATTTGTCTCTGTGTCTTTCTGCCTATCGTATATCGGCCTTGCCATCTTCCTGTCTACCCAGCTAGTAGCAAGCTAATGTTGCTCGTGACTGACACTACGTTAAATTTTTCTGTCGGCCGTTATACCCCCGCTCCCATCACAGGGTGGGGGGGGGGGGGGGGGAGAGAGAGAGATTTTTTCCCGTTTCCTGTCTTTAAACGAATAATACTTCATCCACACTTCACTTCCGGCATAATGTCGTCATAAGCAAAGACCGTGTGGAGCGCCTTACAAATGTATTTATTGGTTCCTCAACTATGTCTGGCTACTTTCTGTCAGATATTTACCAATGTTCCGGGCTAAGTGTGGCTCACAGCTCGCTCGCAACGTATTATGCATTGCGCGGCTCGTTGAGAACAAGCTGTGTGGGGAGAAGTGGCGATAGTCGAGATAAGCGGCATACAGTTAAACACCGCCAGACAATGCCCCCGTTCATCGCCATGCCTATTTCTTCAACACCCCTCTCTGCCATGATCCCTACACTTGCATAAGAAGAGTCTAATATGTGGAGGGTCGACTTTGGCAAAATTATTGTTCTTTACTCACATTATAGATTATCTCAGGGAAGCATGCCGTAAGGCTGAAGTGTACGCAGAGAGGATGCTAGAAATGCGTAAATAAATTAATACTGTTTATGCCGTCTTCGCTTTCCCATGATAGTATAAGCAAGAAAGCTAGGGGACTAGTGGTTGTGTAAGACTAGAGAGTAGTTTCTTTTCAGATAAGAACATCTATATTGTAGTTTATTTAGGCGTCCTGGAGATTGGGCAGTGGGAACCAAAAACTACATCTGATATTTCACAGCTTTTAAAGCTATTAAGAGAAGGAAGCTTGTAAAAACAATTGCTGCCATTCACGCATCGCTAATATCACAGATGAAGCGGGGGAGGTACCGAGATATATTATATCTATAATAATAGTCGCACATGCTGGCCGGCTATTGTGTCTATCGCTGTGTGGTGAGTGACAGAACTTGGTATCTCCACTGTCCGACTCATTCCACTATGGAGTGGTTTGTGCTGAACGGAGATAAGGGCAGATCATGACAATGACACCCGGCCCTACTCTCTTTAGCAACCTCATAGTTATTATGACCATCACCATGAACGAGATATGGAGGGAAGGGGCTGGGGTGGATTGCTGAACGTGTATTTATGAACCGTTTGCGCTTTGCCTGAGTGTCTGTGTGCCTGTGCTCACGTTTATGCTAATATTGTACAATTCCAAATGTTTTCTGCACAAAGAAGGGAGCACTAAATGAAGGTTCTACCTTTTGCAGACTCAGAACGGTGTGTTATTCTCGTCATTTCAAAAATATGAAAGAATTCTAATAAATAAATCATCAAGTGTCTACTACTGCAACACAAAAAGTCTACATCAAACAATGCTATAATATCTAAGTTTCTACTGTACAGCAGTTAGGCGCTTCGCTGTTGCAGCAGGAGATCCGAGTTCAATTCACGAGAGAGGAGAATTTTTAGTAAACATCCCAATCGCTCTGCTAGGATGTTGTATCCCTCTCATGCCGAGTTGGCCCTGACAGGCAGCCTGCCTCCTAAATTAGCTAAATTGTTTCGACGGAGGCATAAAAACACCTACATTATTTTTTAAGCTACAGGATTTGCCGGGGAGTAGGGAATGCCAAGGTCAACGGATATGCAAACGAGATTGTTTATCAGGAAATTTCTGCCTAACGGGGTCATTAGCAACAGTGCGACACGTCACCGGGACTCTTTTGTCCACTGCATCGACTTTATCATAATATCCAAGGATGTTTACTCTGGCGTAATTTTGACTCATCTTGGAACGCTCCATCTGACCCACATTCGAATCTGAATGAAGGGCAAGAAGGGAAAGATAGCGTCGCGTGCGAACTCTACATTATGGAGGCTGTTTTTGTTTGTTAATTTTTTATTTTGTTTTTTGTTTGATGTTGTTTTCTCTTGCTTTTGGGTTTTTTAGGGGGACTGCTCTTCAGTTTTTCGCTCCGATGGTAAGCACGGGGGCAGCGACGTTTTTATAGAGAGCAAAGAGCGGCGGCCATAACAGTGTCCGGACAAATATAGATCTCTATGCTAACTTTCACACCCTCCCCCTCCGAGACCTCTTCTCAAATTCATATTTTATATGATGATTCTCTTTAACATAAAAGGAAGGGGAAGTGCACATAATACTGTCTTCTATCCGTTCTGGTGTACGCCTATCGGTCAACTGAGAGCCTAGTGTAGCAACAAAGGATGAAATAGACCCCCAAAACCCCAAACCGAAGAGTGCAGAGGTAGAGGTTTTCTATAGTCTTTGCCCAACTATGAACCCCGCATGTAGCAATTAGAGGATGAATTTGACAGACCTCCCGAAATTCCAAACTGCATTTCGCCTGCTTTGTGTAAGGGTCTACCCTATACCATTTTGAAAAGTAACGCATGACGGAGTATTTCACCGAGTAATAGATTTGGATTTATCAGTTTTGGTCTAGCATGTGGTTTGGACATCTGACACGTATAGCACATCACCAGCTGGCCAGTAAAGCATACAACAAAAGAATATCCGGGTACAAGGCAAGAGCAAGACCAAGGAAGACCAAGGAAGACCTGGATCGAGGATGTGGAGAATACCCTGAAAACACTCAATATCCCATTCATTCAGGCCACCCAGCCTGCTCGAGACAGAAAGCCCCCCACCCCCCACCCCCCGCCCTCGACGCCCTTGGGGTACAAGAGGAAGGAATTAAGTAAGAAGGTCTAGCAAAGCGATATGATATTTTCTATGGGACCATTCTGAATGCGCCCGTCTCCGAAGCGGAAAGTTCTGGTTCGAGCCTCGGTTTGGACACGGATTTTCTTTTGCCCCCTTCTGCCCACCCAGCAGTAATGGGTACCTGACTTCGAGTTGGGGAAGTAAAGGCGGCGTGGAAAGGAACTGGCCACCCTACCACAATATGCCGAAGGCCCAGGAAGTTGTCTCACTAACAAGGCAATCCCCAAGGTCCGGATCGGATGGGGGAACAACTTTACTTTTACATTCTGAAGCTGCAATGAGCAGTGCGTTCGGCCTACAGAAATTACTCACCCATGACGGCGGTGTGTCCGAAGTCCAGTGCTAGACCGGCGTGTAGGGCGAGGGTGTCCAGTTTGTCGGCGGGGAGCAGCCTCGGTGGGCGGCCGACAGGAGGTGAAAGGGTATTGGTCAATTGGTCAGCTACGACACTGTATCGCGTGACTCCTAACTCTGGAAGTTGGCAGTGTCCAACTTTCTCGAGGCGTTGTGTTTTTTGCGTTTATTTGATTGAAAAGAACGACTTCCTGCTGTTCTTTTGACAGATTTCTGTCACTCTCTCGATGTCATGAATAACTGCGGTGCAAACTTGGGCATCTATGTCAAGGCAGAGTACCCTGCAAAGAGATTCAAAACACACTGGTGAACCATGTGTGTCAGGCAATGTGGAGGTAGATAAGAGCTCTTGGTGTATCACTGTGTGGTTTTTATGGCTCGAAGACGTCGGCTTCAGTCCCCGCTCTTTGCTGACAACCACGTTCGATGGGGACAACTCGCGACTTCAATAAACAATACGTCAAAATATTCGACTTTATAATCACTGGTACTGTCAAGAATATCTTTCCCACATAAAATTCAGTATACCTCATTGAAGCTTTCTGTACACTGATGGGTATTCATCCAAGCGACGTATCGCTTCTGAATTTGTTTCACCAGGCTCCGGTATGATTGGACAGTCTGAACGCCAGTGGAGGCTGGACAGGTCAAGTCGCAGTAGACATCACATATACGGTTCTTGTGTAATGTTTTTCGTGAAGTGTTAGTGTGTGTGCGCATGTGTGTATGTGCGTATCTGTGTGTTGTCTGTGAATACCCTCTTCCTGGCCGCAGGACCCCCGTGCAGACCCGCAGATGGCGCCAACACCGAGCCCCTTGATCTGGAGAAGACAAATAAAATAATACAATAATTGTACAATAACAAAACAGTATAGCCATACAGTTAACAAAATCGAAAGTTGCCCAGGGCCAGGACAACTGGTGGAAAAGGAAAGAAAGGAAAAGGGAGGGAGGGGGGGGGCTTTTTGTTATCAGGGGCTCACTGATGGGGACATTACTGTCATGTTAAATTTCAACGCAATTCAGTCACGGTTTACTGCAAAATCGTTCTGCAGTCTCTCCGATATGACAAAAACCCCGGAAATTTGGAGCTTCTATTCGAGGTGACATATATTCATATTATCGCTGACTGGTTTTCGCATTACGTGTGGTATAAGCGGCTTCATGAAAATATCTGGACAAAACTAAAGCAGCGCATAGTTAAATGCAACAACAATTACACAACCTCAAGGACTTTTTTTTAATTGACTCATTGAAGACGTCCGTACTGGTCATTCGACAAAGCTTGAAGAAATAGGGGTAGTTGTGCTATCAATACAAGTTTGTCAGTTCTGGAAGTTTTTTTTTACGCAAATAAAATTAAAGGCAGGCAACAACAAGCATACTATAAAATGGGCAAATACGTGTTCCTGATTTGTGTGTAATGCTTCAAATCTGCCTCAACATTGCCTTTGGTGTGCAGCTTATCGGACATCTGTGTTCGTTAAGCCCTTAAAGAATAAAACAACCATCCAGCCCACAGAAAAAAAGTATAAAGAAACAGCTGCAAACAGAAGAAGAGATTGGGTGACAATATCCCGGAATGGACAGGACTGAAACTGAGGAACACACTGAAAAAATCAGAGAACGTTTAGGGAGTGGAGGTTGTCTGCCGTGTTGTCGTCAGGACCCTGAGATTTGCTGTGCCTGTTTGTTGAATAATTGCATGCAGTTTTATTTTAGTTAGTTTGTTGGCCAAGAAGACACTTAGTTAATTAACCAGTTTGTTAGTTTGTTAGTCTCTCTGCAAGTTAGTTCGACAATAATTTCAGCAAGTTAGTTAGTTAGTTAGTTAGTTAGTTAGTTAGTTAGTTAGTTAGTTAGTTAGTCAGTTAGTTAGTTAGTTAGTTAGTTAGTTAGTTAGTTAGTTAGTTACTTGGTTACTTGGTTACTTAGTTTGCTAGTTAGTTAGCACGAAGTAAGCTAGCATTTTAATAAAATCAAAGTCATTGGGCATACCTAACGTTTCCGTTTCTTTTTTAAAAACTAATTCATTTTTGTTTTGTTTCGTGTTTTGTCCTTTTGAAAGCAAATTTCAATACCTCCTGCCCCATCTTCCCCACGTCTGTAACAAAATGACTATATCAGGCTCTATGCCGTTACGTCAACGACGTGAGTTCGATCCCCGCGCTGGCAATGTGATGTGCTGAACATCTCAGTCTTTCTGCGTCCGATGCGATTTCTCATACGGCTTGAGTTCGTGGCCCAGGCACTGCTTGGTTCACAATGGTCAAGACACATTGTGTTAACTGATGTTCCAGGTTCAAATCCAAGAAGGAGGTACTATAGTCTCACTATTTTTTTCCTTCTCTTTTTTTTTTAGACCCCGTGGTCTCACTTTTAATATTTCCCCTTAGCGTGTGGTCATGCCGGGTCAGCTAATCCCCCGACACAGAACAGATTTATCTTTCCCGCGAGAAGAACGCTCTTCTTATTAGACAGACACGCTGAAAAATCTAAACCAGCGCTTTTCTATCCTCTTTCATAGCCAGCGTCCGTTAATTTATAACAATCTTTGCTGCTACATTCTGTACATAAGATAAGTAACTTTACTGATAAGTATATCTAAAGGGCTGAACTACAGATATCGCTACTCGTATTTGAACTCATATCGGACAGAACAATAATTTGATAAAGCTCACCAGAACATGGATTACGTTTTGCAAACCTTGAAATCCAGGATATGAAATTGAAAAAATATGCGGTTAGAATTTTTCGTAACGCCCACAACTGTATTTCCTAGCGGGGCTTTAATATCACCTGTCACTCCCAGGTGATCCCCACCGCCCACCAAAATTACCAGTTCGCGAAGAGGCCGTTGCCAATTAGTGGATGATATCGCCCAGGTTGACAAGTGGCTACTTTAAAATTACAAAAGTTTTTACTGTCATGTTTGGCCGCTTTGGGTAACTAAGACCATGAGAAGAAAAACCAAATGTTTTATCTAATCTACTCTATAAAAATCGAAAGATTATTCGGGGTCGTAATCAAGATATTCACAGAATTGCTTTTAAAAAAGTTTGATATGATGTGAAACTCAAAAATTTGAACGTCAACTTTCTCTAAACAAGTTACTGAGCAGATAGAACGTTGTTATTCTAGGGTAGCGAAGTACTGATCTAAACCATTCCCTCCCGGTATGTTTAATACGGCCGATTTCGTGATTTTGAAACGTTGTTTATTCAGATTGTTTTTTCTTGTTGATTGGTTTTGGTTTGGTTTGGTTTGGTTTGGGGGGTTTTCGGGTGTGTTTTTGCTTTGTTTTTTGTTTGTTTCTTTTTTTTGGCTTTTTTATTTTTTTAAACGAAGATGTTAGGGGGGGCGGGCATCTACTGCAACATGGGTTGCACTCACCGTGTATTAGTTGAGCCAGTATTTAGTCAATGTGGCTTCTGTCATTCTTTCATTATTTTTTTCCAGTACTTTGCCAGTCTACGACATGCATACCTTCAACCACTTCTTTCGGCGATTTTAGTAGGAAAGCATTCACTGATTTTGCATGCCCCAAGTCTTACTTTTAACGAAGCTTGAGAGAGAGGGGGAGAGAGAGAGAGAGAGAGAGAGAGAGAGAGAGAGAGAGAGAGAGAGAGAGAGAGAGAACTGTGCAACAACTTGAAGTTATAAGTGTGTTAGAACGTGCAAACATTCGAAATGTAAAATCGTGGAGGTCGAACAATTGGATAAATACACAAGATCCCCAAACATTGGAAAACATGCAACAAAATAGAAATTAATTTTTACTGAAGGTCTACATAACATAATAACGATTTTTTTAAATGCGTTTCGAATTATTATTTTGCATTCTTCCAAAAAAGGAAAACAGAACGCAGATGTCAGCCGAAGCGATGCAATTTTGTATAAAATTATTAAGGGAAGGACACTACAAAATTGTCTCTGTCTTTTAAGAAGTAGTCTATAAAAAATTAACGCATAAGCTAAGTTTTGCAGCCCTTCATGTGGCCATCGGCGCTGAAAGAATACTTGTTTTGGGGGTCTCTATTATATCTATTAAATATCTATTTCAATAACAATCTTTGCTGTTACTCATTGTACCTGGATAATACGCCTGGTAAATCTAGGAATCCATAATGTGAAATTGTTCCAACACAGAGAACGTTTTGATAACTTGTGCAGTATACAAAGACCGTAGGTTACCTAAGACAGAACGCTAATTTTTGTACACTTTTTTAAAATTCGTATAAATTAAGATCGTTAAGATGCCTTACAAAACTATTCTATTACACTGAAATATACTGCGTACCTCGGATCCTGCTAGGATATTTATATGTGCCCTCAAACATGCATATAATTTGCACGCACTTTCACACACACACACACACACACACACACACACGCGCGTGCGCACACACATACACACACACACACACACACACACAAACACACACATTTCAAACTAATTTTGAAATTTGAACCTCGAGGTTTATCTAAAAGATGGGACTTTAATGTGAAGTCCATCCTGTAATTTTTATTTCACAAATTACACATCCTTGTCAAAACAAATGAAAGATGAGGGTATCAAAATAGTAATTCCCATTCAGACACATTGCTAATATCCAGATTAGTTGGGTACAACTTTGTCCTGTAAGTCTTGTCTTTAAATGTCTGAATTGTGTCTAAGACGACGATAAAATGAGATTTCAAAAACAAAACAACCCCCCGCTCTGCCCTTCCTCTTCCCCTTTCTACGTGTCGTTCTTCGTATCTACATCTGAATCTATTCTTTTCCCTCTCATTCAATCATCTACTGATTTATTGATTGCTTCATTCACTGCCATATAATTGGTCTTCAGTTCTATCACAATTTCACACCAACGTTTATTGGCAGTCTGGAATATTCTCCACAATATTTGACTGTCTTAAAAAGAATTATATTCAGAAGAAAAGACTTCTGATGTTGCTTTCGTCTATACTTTTATCCATCTTTTTTACTCTGTCCACACTGAGTTGTGCTAGGACTAGTTCTCCCGCTACCTCTTCACATAAAGCAAATTATGTTTAAGTCTTTTGAAACGGATTCCAGTGTCATGAACGAATATTTATGCATAATCAGGTAAGGGAATGCCGAACTGATAGGGTAAAGCCTGTCAGGATCAATAGTTAATTATTGTTACTGATGGTGCATAGAATAGCTGTGCTGTGTCTTCTAAGAGGAAAATAAACAATTAGCGACTCAGTACAAAGTAGACAAAGCACATGTAATATTACTATGGTTAAAATATGAACATTAAAATTTGTTTTTAATAAAAATGATTTTACTCCCCATTGACACCGATTCGATCATTTAGGAGTCAGGCTTCAACCCTGGTTGTCAGGTTCAATCTGGGCAGACAGGGACACAGCGTTCCAGTAGACAGAGCGTTCACATGACCTTATGCAGTTGTGAGCGCTGTAAAATGTTTAAACCAAACTTAAAAGAGATTCATATTTTTTCAGCCTGCGCATAATTACCCCCCCCCCCTCCCCCTCCCAGACAGGGCAGTGCTATTGACTGAAGTTGTCTTTATGCCATTCCCAAAGGGAAATATTAGCATGTTCTTATGCGCAGTAGAAATGTTAATGGCCTGATTTATCAATGTCATGCTCATACTGTGCCGGAACAACATAGGGAGAACTGCTGCTTTTTCTTTCCTCATCCTTACTGTTATTATCATCATTTTCCTCTACTTCTTTCGTATGTTTGTCAATCTCTTGTGAACTGTTATTTCCGGGGTGACTTAGTAGTCGAAACAGACTTTGTGCTGTTGAGGCTATAGAGGTGAGCAGAGTAAGCTTGATTCCCCGTTTAGACTTCTGTTGACATGCATCCCTTGGCTCTCATTTAACCTTATGAAATTTCGAGCGTCGTAAAACCTTACTAAAACTTCTACTAAAACAACAGCATAATT